TTGCACATACTATTAAATGTCTTCTTCATGGGCATTTACCCATTCGCTCCCTGTAGGCTGCCAATACTAACAGAGAAAACAACTTAAACTAATAATCCAGTCGCTAATGTATTAAGAAAAATTTGAGTTGCTTTTGGTTCAAAAAACTCAGTATCCCGTTTTTGTCACTTCACCTTTTTCACGTTCTTACCTTTGTTTTTATTTTTGATTTTGTTCTTCTCGAATGAGTCTAGTCTCCACCTATCTTAACTTGCATGGAATTTTATCTGTTCACCTAACTTATTTGCTGAAGTTGCAAAGGCAAGACAGTGATTCCTCTTCTGAACTATTTATAGTGGTACAAATTTCTTAAAATTGGGCGTTGTTTTGCAGGGCGCAGCTGTGACACTGACTGAACTAGGAGAGTATTCACGGGCTGTTACGCTTCTTGAGAAATTGGCTAAGGTTTGTTTCTCACATGCTTTTATTGTACCTTATGTCTCGTCATTTGTTTCACAAGGACATGCTGATATGAGACTTAGCTAATAGTGTGCACAAAGTGGGATTCTTGCTCTGTAGGAGAGACCAACTGACCCGGATGTCTTTCGATTACTTGGAGAAGTAAATTATGAACTTCAGAACTATGAAGGCAGTATCGCTGCATACAGAATTTCTGAAAAGGTAAATGTTCTCAAAATTCGTGTGTTAAACCTGATTTTATTTTATTTTGTAGCTTTTATCACTTGCATTGAACTAATAGTTGCTTCAGTAGTGTAAAATGAGATTGTATGACGATTTTTTCTAGTGGGGACATTAAGATTAGAGTTAATGCCTAGTATTGCTGCTACTACAATCTGCAAAGTTGTTAAGACAGACAGTTTTGCTACTTTTTGTTCTATTTACTGTAGGTTTCTAAAGGCATTGATCTTGAAGTAACACGAGGCCTCGTGAATGCATATTTAGCTGCTAAGAAACCAGACGAGGTAAATCTGCTTCTACCTGATATGAACAGAAATATGTTACCTTTTGTCTCAGAAGCTTCATCTTAAATACTCTCAATTTCTCTTTATCCATTTCTTTTCCTCTTTGCCCTGATTCTCAGGCTGTCAAATTTCTTCTGGACACTCGTGAACGTCTGAATACAAGGAAAACAAGCACAGCAGATAGCGTTACAGCTGATACTGAACCAAATCTAGACCCAATTCAGGTAAGTTGCTTTCTTTGTAATGGACTCTTTAACATATTGATACCATTCAAACCAACTCTTCTGGAACCACTAGCATAATCAGTTCCTTGATGAAATAGACATATCTTAGTGTTCTAGATGGCCTTATCTGGTTTGTATGTTAACAATGAATCATAAGGATCTATACTAGGTTCGGTTCAATTCTGTAACTTCTATTTCGGTGATATTAAACATTGGGGAAATATTTGTTCAGGTTGAGTTGCTTCTCGGAAAAGCTTATTCAGACTGGGGACACATCAGTGACGCTATAGCTGTTTATGACCGGCTTATCACTGATCATCCCGAAGACTTCCGAGGTTACTTGGCCAAGGTAATTTTCTCGTCCCTGCCGGAAGAACTCACTCAATGGTCAATACATATTCCCATAAACTCCATGTAAAATGGTGTTGTAGGGAATTCTATTGAAAGAAAATGGAAGCAGAGGAGATGCAGAGAGAATGTTCATCCAGGTGAATCATATGAACTCAATAAACCACCTTCATTCCAATACAAGTCCAAATGTGTTAAAAAAAAATGTAACACTAAACTGATATTTGTGCAGGCACGCTTTTTTGCGCCAGACAAAGCTAAGGCCTTTGTGGATAGATATTCCAAACAGTAATCACTGATTCTGTATATATTCATCCATTTTGCAAACCAAACTTTACAGCCAAACTTAGCCAAGAAAATATTCTATACTCCAAGGTGAGTTTCTCACTTGAGCCACAATCATCTGTGAAACCGACTTTGAAAAAGATGGGTGAATAAGACTGTATAATACATATATATTCACAATATGAAGCCGCAGAATTAAGATTCTCAAGAACTGTCATCTAAATAATAAAAAGGAACCAGAAGAGCTACACTAAATATGAAGACATAATGTTCCAACTGATCTTCATATGGCTAGGCATTGAAGCTACAAACCGCAAAAGATCCGGCTTACTGATGATTCCTGAGCGAAGCGGCTCTGTTTCCTGTTGGTTCAAGACAAGGAGAAACTTTGCAATGTTTGGAAGTACCATTTCCCGGCAATGCAGATGTAACAACGGAACTTTAGATAAGACGCTTCCCTTTTGGATATCAAGACCTTCTGGTCTGCGCATTTTATATGTTTTTCCTGTTGTTGGTTCGATATCAACCTGAGGCATCTGTTTCCATCTCTTGTGGACGAACCAACCATACTTATAATCACCTACTATTKGAGTACCAAGAGCTTCAGCGCAGTGTACACGTAGCTGTTTTTAGAAGGTACTTTGGTCAAGAGAGAGAAACAAAATCTTTCACATACATGGTAAGAAAATAGCAGAGTAAATAAGCAAGTACCTGATGCTTTCTGCTAGTAATAGGACGAAGTTCTAACCATGAACATCCATTGATCATAGGTCCTAACACTCTATACTCTGTTATTGCTTCTTGCGAAGCTTCAAAGCCTGAGCCTCGAGCCAAAACCACCCTGTCTGTTTTACCATCATCCAGAAGCACCTGAACACGGTTTCTTAATCATTTTCAGATTCAGGCATCAGAGGTAAAATGAGAAACATACCTTTGAAAGAGGAGCTGAAATTATTCCTTCTTTGTCCTTTGGAGAACCAATAACCAATGCCCAATATTGCTGATACATCGCTTCACACGCTTTGTTCCAAGCCTAGGATTGTGCAATTTATAGGAGTCACTAACTAATGCTTAACCTTTCCTTACTTGACCTTAGCGTGTTGGTTCAGAATTTCTCATAGGTCTTCTTACCTTGCATCTCGAGTTTCTTCCCTTGTAATCACTGAACACGGAGTGAAGATGATCTATACTTTCTTTGGTCCGACCCATTACTAAGAGGCCGCTAGTTTCCCTATCAAGACGATGCACCTGACCAGAAAAACTCAAGTAAGATACCAAAACCCAAATCAACTTCTCCAAATAAACTGTAATACCCAAAGTTTGGGAATTTACCAATCGAGGACCCTCATCATTGCCAAATGACAAAGCTGCAGCTGCTAGTGCATCCATGCTGTTATGTATCGGCACATTTCCCTAAAACAAAGAATGATAAATGATTGTGCAGCCGCTGCTTAATCAACAAGGGAATGTAACAACTCATTTCCATGAAATCATTCTGCAGGAGCAAAGAGAAAACTCTATTACCTTGACTGGAAGCTTAGGTGGCTTATTAAGAACTATAATAGCAGAATCCTGCAGCACAGAAACAAAACGTCAGAACTTGAAAGGAAAAAACTTGAACTATAAAACGAAAAACATGCATGACATTTACCTTGAACCTGACAAGCCTTTGAAGATATGCGATTTCGTCTGCGTTTGGATACAAGGTTCCACTTGGTATAGTGTCATACCTCTTAGAGATTCTGGTTTCGGCGATTGACACGGGCAACCAGATTTTATCACCAATTTGCATTACCTCGTTATGCTTAATCTGTGTACAATTCTACCACTATTATTAAACACAATCTTAGAGAATGATCATACCAACAACAAAGACCAATTTTTACGTTTCTCATAGGCCTAGCTCCATCTTGTTTCTCTCTTGAAGCATCTCTACGACCTCGAAACTCCATCTGAACCTGCCACAAAGGTAAAACCCAACAATCAGAAAGAGGAACTAAAATGAATACATTCCAAATCCATGATTTCAGAGCTAAAATGTAGGAATTCGATCTGAGTTTCTTAGAAAATGTTGAACAGTGTGATGATCCAAATACGACTCCAAAGTAATAGTGAAGTGCCAAAAAATTGATCAAAAGTAATGAAAAGTTATACCGGAGACACTCACAAGGCCCTTTGTGAAATGGATTTGAATAGACTTATCATGGATTTCTTCGAAATAGTACTTCACCCAGCTAATAGCAGTGACGTGGCCACCATCTCCGTCGCCGTCAACTCCGTCGTTAACGGCGTTTTTACCAGGTAACGGATGACCAGGGAAAGGCGGCAATGACAGAAGCTGACGTGGCAACGGTCCTTTCTTCGGAGCTCCAAGGTGTGCTATGTTGTTTGTGACGCGGATAACCGCCGATTGCGGCGGAGCTACTCTCGAGTACCGCCGCGTCGTCACGGCCAGGTATATCTGACGGAAGCTGGTCCTCGTCTTAGTCTTCCACATGGATGTTCCTTAGAAGACCGTAGGACTCTGTGTCTAGGTTAGAGCGCCGGCTAAACGGCGGATAGCTTCCGGCGATTTGGCCCAAGACGAAAAGATAACACAGTCGAGAAATTTTTGAAATGGGCCTGTTGGGCTTACTCTGTTTAGGCTTCATGGAGTTTAGTTTTTTTAACATATTGTGGGCCCACTGATATTACTCGTGTTAGATTGACCAACAAAAATAAATGGACTAAGATAATTGATTTGATAGATGTAATGTAAGAGCATGTTTAGTGATGGCTCT